TAGTGGATACCCCAACCCTGGCAGTGTTCAAAGCCAGGCTGGATGAAGCCTTGAGTAACCTGGTCTAGTGGGAGATGTCCCTGCCCAGGGCAGGGGGTTGGGACTGGATGATCTTTAAGGTCTGTTCTAACCCTGTAACATTCTGTGATTTTATGATAAATATGCATTTAAAGACTGAGCATCAAATAAAGGAAGGCTCTGTTACAGCATGAACAAGACCTCAGAGCCTCAGACTGCAGACTCTGTCAAACAAGTATTTCTTATTTAAAAGCTGTAGTAACAGTTAGGCTTTGTGGAATTGTACCATGTTGGTCATGTCTGTCTCTATTCAGGTTGCATTTGATTCAGTGACCTCATACCAGCATTTAATATTCCCAGATATCATTAAACGTTTACAATATAGCCTTCCTTCAGAAGAAATTCAGTGTTAAAATACATATTTTCAGTGACAGTCCTTACTACACAAAGCAGGGGCTGCTGTTGCTCATTGATTTAACTGAGCTGTGCACTTCAGCTGGTCCACATCTTAAATTGTGCCTTTAAAAGCCTCCCAAACCACAGCAGCTTTTGGGGTGCCTCAAAGGCACGGGGATAAATATTGAATAACAAGTGTATTAAATTGACAGTTGGGCTGTTTAAAATACAAAGGCGAATGTTACATGAATAGGAAAGAGCCAATTTTAATTAACTGCCACAATAATTACTGTGTTTCTGTGACTAAGGCTCAGAGCAATGTTGAGATTGCTCTGCTTGTTAGACTTGGCCTTGAATCCTGCACAGTGACTAGTGGATCTTGTCAGTGCTCTGGGGTGGAGGGGCAAGAGTTCTGCCCAAAGGAGTGTTTTAAAGCAATCCCTTCATGTATTAAACAGATTTACAGTAAATATTTACTCTTTAAATTGGGGGAAAAGAGGAATCTTGCTTATGTATCCGCAGCTGCTTGAACTCTGCCCCTTTGTTCATGACTTCAGCCACTGACTCATGTTGATTTTACAGCTTAATGTTTTACTAGTTTACATTTTTCAGGTTGCATCTGGATGTGATTTTTTTAAAATGTTAATTGTAGATTTGTTTTAAAGCATTACCAGGGCTGAGACACAGACAGCAGTGTGCCCCTGCCTCTCCCTCACCCCCTGTCAGTGAGTGATCCTGTACCAGGGTGCTGCCAAACCCTGCCCAGGTGTGGCTGCTGGTGCCTCCCAGCTGACAGCAGCAGCCCTTGACCTGAGCGTGGTGAGGCTTGTTCACACACATCATGCTGGCATCAGGGGCTGGTTTTGGACAGACCCATGACCTGGGTGTTTCTCCTACAAAAATAACTGCTCCCTTCATGCCAAGGTGACATTTGCACCTTTCTGTCTTGCTAGAAAGAGGGAGAAGGAAAGGAGGAGGAAAGCTCAACTGATGTGGGGGTTCTAAATAGTTTGTCTTCATGTCCTCTTGCCCTCGGGCCTCTCCTGCAGAAGTGGAGACAGCTGCTTGCCTCGGGCTTTCTGCAGAATCGTTAAATGTTAATTACAGACGAGTTTCGGGAGGCTGCTCGATCCCCAGGCGCTCCCGGGGCTCGGCGAATTCTCATACTCTGGGGTGTCTATAAACATCAATTATGGGTCATTACTCGCAGGACCGAACCAGATGCCTCTTGCTCGGAGAGCTGGAAGGACTCTGGTGGCTGTTTGGAGGGGAGCTGGGGCAGAGGAGCCCACGCTGCGGACGCTAGAGGGAGGCCCTGGCCCACGCTGGCAGCCTGGGATGGGGAGAGACGGCCGGGCCGGGCCAGCTGGGCACCCAGGGTGCCTCCTCTGCACCCTGCACCCAAATCAGCCACCGTTCTGGCAGGCTGAACCTCACCTGGTGTCTTCCACCTGAGTCCCGATGGGTGGTTTGGGACTTGGTGTGTGGCAAATGAGGGAGAGATAACAGGAGAAAAATTAATGATATTTGTAATGGATGATTTGGTGAGCACCCCACAGAGAAAGTGCTGGAAGGGAAAGCAAAAACAGGAGCTGAATTTTTAAATGTGACTTCCAGCAGATAAATGCCACGTTCTAGCTAATGGTGAAAGATGTTGGGATCTCGTTATTGATCTGCCCTGGCTCTTTCCTGCCTGGCTCAGGCACCAGGCAAGTCTTACTGCTGTGGGACTGCTGCTTTATTGCAATCAGTCACAATTTGTCTTGTAGGCAAAAATAATTATTTTGGGGTAAAGTGAGGTAACAGCCTTAAAACATAAAATATGCCCTCTAAATATGTATACTTTTCTATGTAAACTCCACAGTTTATGCACTTCTGACACTTCCATATCTGTCTTGTCACAGTAACTTGAAGTGTGACATCATGGATGATATAAAACATCGTTATTGTGAACCCATTTCAGTGGCAATTGGGCTTCTCCTCGCCTCTTTCACTCTCAGTGGAACGTCAGTATTTTTGAACACCTTTAAAAAAGGGATTTATAAAATAGGGATGTTACATTTTTTTCTATTTTGTCTCTGTCCTCCACTGAAGTTGTCCTAGTTGAATTTGTTAGTACCAAATCATTTATTTTTATATAAAGACTTATATATTTATATTACTTTCTATCCTGATACAAATCTGTGGCAAAGCATCTGTGTTTATAACCATTCTGAAAATAGTCAATGATCCTGTTTTTTCTCCTCAAAAAAACAAACTTTTGCTACTTGTGAAAACATTTTAAAATAAAGAGTTAAAACCCATCAGGCTCAATCTCCTTCTTGGGCACTGGAGAATAAAACTGAGTCTCAAATGAAGTGTTAGTGAGGAATGATATGGGATAGTTCTTTGTTTTCATGTTTTGGCTAAATAATTTCATCGAGGGGGGTTTGGCTGTGCCTGGGAGAGGGAAGGTAGAGCTGTGTCAAGCCAGGAGAAAACTTATCAAGGACATGCATTTCAGACATGTGTGGCTCCTCTCCAGGTCTTGTTTTTTGGGTTTGTGGTCTGTGTCTGTTACCATCCTGGACTTGCTTCAGCCAGGGTACCCAAGAGGCTGGAAGGGATGCAGCTGGGGCTCCACTGGGATGCTGGGCTGTTAGCTCCTGCTCCGTGCCCTTTCTGGAGGCCCCAGCAGGGATATATTGCAGTGCAGTGATCTGGGGGTTTCTGCCAGCTTTATTTCCTTTGGCTGGGAGTCAGTCCAAGCCAGGGAATAACTTAGAAATCCAGCAGCTGTCGGGCCAAGGCCCTGCCACAGGAAAAGATCACTGAATCACGGAAGTGTTGGTTGGAAGGAATTCCTGGAGGTCAAGGACGACGAGCTGCTCTTCCCAACAGGAGGGGCCATATGCTAAGCCACTTGCAGGACAATGTTCCTATAAAGAATATGAGTAATGTCTCTGCTATGGCTACTACGAGTGAACATATGGACAGTGATATGGAAACTATCCCTGGATATATTATTCTAGATAGAAACCACTGGGAAGAGCAGCCTGCCAGGAGTGTCCCACTCCTGGAAGTGCTTGCATCTCAGCGTTTCCAGTGTGGCTTTACACCACGGCCCTGTTCCATGGTTTGGAGCAGTTGATTTCTTGCCTTTGTTTGAGTGTGAGCATAGCTCTGAGTCAGGTGGGGTCAGGGGGTGCTGCTGTGGTGGGTCTTTTCCAGCAGTCATTCCCCTTGTGCTGAAGAAATATTCCCAGTCCTCTGTTTCACTAATGCTGGTGCCATTTCCTGGTTTCCTGGAGGACAGGGTTTAACTGGTGAAACTCAGTAACTGCTGCAGAATGTTCCTAGTCTCAGAGATGGAGGGTGAGAGGTGAAGTATTGACCTGCTGATGGAGGCACTGCTTGGTCCAGAGGGCACATTTACAGGAATAAAATTAGCATAGGGAAGAAAATATAATTATACATTAAAAAATGGCTGGGAAAATTGTTGGTTTGAGCATCCTGGAAACACATTTTAATAAGGCAATAAAAAACAAACCCCACAAGGTTCACACTGCTGGGGAACACTCTCACAGAGCTTATTAAAAGAGCACCTCTGCCAGATCATTTGGGGCTTTAAGACATGTGCTGTGTACAAATATTTCAGTAAAGGTAATTTTCTCTAGGTGTTATAAACATGTTTGGATCCCCAGTAGGATTTTGAGATGACTTTGAACCCAACCCAACTTCTTGATCAGCACAATCAAGCCCAGTCCTGGAAAACTTCCTCATTTTGTAGCAAAATCTGCAGTCAGGAGACTGAACATTGTTGTATTCACTCTGGGGCTGTGCTGCCCTGTGAAAGTTTAATTAATTGAAGGTGTGTTTAAGTCTTTAGCTGTTCCAAAGTCTGATTTACAAACAATGCATTTTCTGTTCCACAGCAGAGCCTGGCTTAGCAGAGCCTTTCCCTTTTCCTGTTCCCACTGACAAAGCTGCTCATGGCATGGCAGAGGTCGAGTCTGTCCGTGCCACTGGACAACAGTTTCTATCTCAGCTGAATAGATGATTTCCACAAAGGTGGGGGCTGCATCCCTGCAGTTCAGAGCAGGAAGGTTTCATCAGCTGTTCCAGGAGTTTCTCCTGCCCAGCAGCCAGCGAAGAGATTCCTGTTTCCCCAATTCCTAGTTTTGTTTAGGTTGGGGTTTGGTGGGGCTGGACTGGAAGGAGGGAATGAACACATCTGCATTGGCCATGGAACACTTACCTATGTCTCTTCACAAAAAGTTGCTTGGAACTTTTTCCTCCTCCTGTCCTCCCGGCAGAGCAGGAGTGTGCAGTGTCTGGGGCTGAGCCTGA